AGATAGGACACATCCCTGGCGGACACCTTTCCCAATTTTGAACCATGCTGTGTCTCCCTGCTCTGTTCTGACAACTACCTCTTGGTCCAAGTATAGGTTTCGCATTATAACGATCAAGTGTTTTGGGATTCCCATTCTTCTCAGAGTCAGCCACACTTTGTTATGATCCACACAGTCAAAAGCCTTTGCATAATCAATGAAACACAGATAGACATTCTTCTGATATTCCCTGCTTTCAGTTAAGATCCATCTAACATCAGCTACAATATTCCTAGTACCACGACCCCTTCTAAACCAAGCCTGGACTTCTGGCAGTTCTGTGCTGATGTGCTGTTCCAGTCGTTTTTGGATAATCTTCTGTAGAATCTTGCTTGCATGTGAAATCAGTGATATTGTTTTATAGTTTCCACACTCTGTTGGGTTCTAAAATATATTCTTTTAAAAACTTAACAGTTCCTGCTCTCAAAAAGTACACAGCTACAAAGAAATGTGAAAACTTAGTTCTACCATGAGATGAAACATGCTAAAATGAAAATGTATACAATATATCAGTACAGAATAAACACTATGCTACCAATTAATTGTACATAAAAAGGAATTCTTCATTCTGGTATCTGAGAAGAAGTGTTTGGGCTAAAAATTTATTCTAAGTCTTAAAAAAAATTTTTAAGAGAAAATATCCTGTGTGTTAGCTTTCAAATATCTGTCAAGTAGGCCCTTCAAAACCAGAAATAAATCATATGTGCTATTTGCCTTTGCATTTTAATTTAGCTTAACAAGCTCTAAAACCTTGTTTAGTGGTGAATATTATACAATTGTGGGAGAAAGATGAGCACCCTCAGAAAGCCAGTGGTCACTGTGCCTTGAAGTCCAGTGGGGTCGGGTGGGTTTGTTACGTAAATGGACATAATCCTCTGCCCTAACGGGTATACTGTTCTGTTAGAACCATTTTCAGAGGCAGTTAATCACAGCCCAGGAGACTGCCCATCCTTCTCTCATGGAGCAGCTGGTGGAGTCAAACCTTCGTGCCTTTGGGATTGCAGTGCAGCTTCTTGCCACTAGGCCCTTAGGAGCCTCTGAAAGCTTGCTGGAGGGTCAGTTATGGGTTAGTTCTGACTTAAAGGTACACAACAATAGCAGGGGATATAGGAATTTTTTAGTGGGAGAAGCAGCTAACTTAGATTTAAAAAAACCAAAAAAACCCTTATCAAAAAAGAACTTAGATGAAATGAACAAACTACATGAAAAGTACAATTTAGCAAAACATAAAATGAAACACAGAATTAGAACTGCCCTGTATAAAAATGGAATGTTATTTTTTAAAAAAAATTGTCCTTAAAAAAAACCCCCAAAATAGAAAAACAACACCACAAAAATACAAACAAAAAAATCAAGATTCAGATGGCTGTAGTGAATTCTTTTTTTTTTTTTTTTTTCTGTAGTGAATGGAATGGGAGTAGATTTGACATATACACAGGAATCGGACAAACACTTTTTCAGGAAATTAAACAAATACTTACTAAATATGGCAAATGTAATCTTAGTAACACATATTGACAAAGACATTATTTTAAAAAGAATGAAAATTATCGACCACTATCCTGCATCTATTCTGCATG